AAAATTTTGTTGTTGTTCTCGACTTGATTTTTATTTTATTACCTCATCTCCATAGTTACTATTTGCAAATAGTCAATAATATTGTAGGTCCATTTTATTTTTGTTCTTTCTACGTGACGTTATAACACATTTTCATTTAATTTCTGTTGTGCATATATTGTTGTATGTTTATTACAAAAAAATGGCGCAGTAATCATTAATTGTCAATTCCGTCATTAAATACTACACAAAATACAAAATAAATAGCACCATGAAATTTCTTGTAAAAACTGGTTATTATGAAGTTATTTTAAAATTTATAAGTTTAGCAGTTTGGATTCTTATAACGAACAAAATAAACAAACTTCCTCTTTTATATATATATAGATTTATTGATTTAGCCATATTTTCAATGTGTTAATTTTAACGTAAATTTCATAGAAAAAAAAAAAACATATTAAGCAGAGCAACTCTTTATGTGCCAATGAAGAATTTTGTGACACTAAATTAGAATAACTAGTTGGTTTTATTAAGCTGAAACTAATTATTTTTCAAAGCATTTTGAAATATTTTTAGTTTTCTTATATGTATCTCTTTCAATAACTTTTTGTATATACTCATTTTAGGCTTATTCAGCTGGTCGGTGTGTGGATCTTTCCCCATATCGCTTATTTGATGGTCATGTCACAGGGACCCATGTTTCAACTGCAGCTGTGAAGGTAAGTTAAATCTTTTATATAATTCTGTACAAATTTAAATATCCACACAGAATTTCTATTAAAGTTTTTTTTTCTTCCATTCCCCATTAGGATCTGCTGAAGCCACTGGGAGGATTTCCAGCTCTCTACCCTCTTTTAGAGAATGCAGGAAAAATGCTTCGAAGCCAGCAACCAGACTTTTGTGGACTTTCTCCTCAAAATGAAGGAAAAGACACAGAAGATCTTTCTGAAGAATGGGTAGTACTTTCATCCAGAACACATGCAGGTAAGACTATATATAATTTCTCAGTATTTCAAAACAGCTTTTGTTTTCACAGTGAATTTAGGGTTAAATGTGTCGTGTATAAGACATGTTTCAGTGTGCAAAACATGATTATTTGTATACCCAATTGACAGATTTGATGTATGGAACAATACTTTGCTTATTCAACAGACAGGTATAACTTATGTTACAGGACTGATTATTTACCAAGAAGAAAAGTGTATCATATAGTTGGGTATGTGATACACTTCTTCTAGGTAAACAATCAGTCTTGTATCATAAGTTACAGCTGCTTATGTCTGTTGGGTATGTGATACACTTCTTTTAGGTAAACAATCAGTCTTGTATCATAAGTTACACCTGTCTATGTCTATTGGTTATGTGATACACTTTTCTTCTAGGTAAACAATCAGTCTTGTATCATAAGTTACACCTGTCTATGTCTGTTGGGAGACATAAGCAGCTGTAACTTATGATACAAGACTGATTGTTTACCTAGAAGAAAAGTGTATCACATAATCAAGACATATTTGCTGTGTGACATAAGACTGAATTTAAGTTAAAAGGCAAGTAATGTATAACACTGTACTAGCTGTGTATCCAGTAGACAATTTTTATGTGTTAGACAGTATTAATTGTATGTTCTCCAGATGTTTATGTACCCAGTAGAAAACTTTGTCTTCCAGTGACCCAACGTGTGCTTACCCAGGTTTTCGATTTTCTGTAGTGAGCAGATTGCAGTTAGTCCATCGTGTAGCCAAAACATTTTGAACATTAAATATATTTACCATTATTTTTTAGTTTAAAATTTTTCCCCCATTTTTTGCTTTAATTGCACTATGGTAGTCTGTGTATTACTTTTTATCTATGATACTATTATAGTTGCCAATATAAGAATTATTTTTTTTTGTAATTGCAAAACTGATTGAGCACTCCTTAGTTTGAATAGGAGCTGTAGTATAATTTAAATATATTAACTAAATAACATTAATAATGAAATAATTATTAATGTTTTAAACTCACACTTCAAGCAGATAACAGATTTTGTGGTAACACGAGTATACATAATAAATTTTCATAAAACACAATAATTTCTTTAGTATTGGAAATTATATTAAAATATTGAGTATGTTGATAAAGCTGTTGAACAGCTTTATTCCATTTATAAAAGCACACTTACAGGAGTTAGTGAATTTGCTTAGTTACTTATTGCCATTATATTTAAGTTATTCATATATATCAGAGGTTCTGAATGATGACACAAGCAGTAACATAGGCCTATGAAATTTTTATAATCTAGAAGAGTTCTCTAGTAGGTCAGCAGTAACTTTATACAAATTTGCAGCTTTAAACTATCTGGTTAGATTTCTTGCAGTGGACAGGGTACAGATAACCCATTATGTAGCTTTGTGCTAAAACAACAACATAATCAACATAATTTTTGAAGTCAGCAAAGTTTTTACTAATGAAATAATATAAACATGGTTACTTAATTGAAACAAGTATAACGCTGCTCACTTTTTTACCGTATATTTTATAGTATTCAAGACACTTTCGACACATCTTTTGTAATATAAAATTAAGAGTATTACTTACTTCATATTTTCATTTTACCTAATTGAACGTTCTTGTGAAACCAACTTACACTGTTGATTTGTAGCTTCAATTCACATTATATACAAAAATGTCTGCTGAAGTTGTGTGGGAATGGTAGACCCCACAATGGAGAAATTTTGCCCCCCCCCCCCAGCACCACCTCCAATCTGAGATTTAGTTTTTTAATATTTTTAAAATTTTCTATATTGTGACTCCCACTGACATGAAAGTGTTAACTTTTTCTGCCACCCCTCACTAAAAAATCCTAGAAATGTCACTGTAACCTTGTATGTTATGTTAATTACACTTACACAATCTTTACACATATATGAATATTCATCCATCCTATCCTCAAGCTTGTAGCTTTTTTATTATTTTGGTATTCAATGCCTCCTTAGCTTAATTTTAATGAACATTTCAGTAAAAAAATATTTAAATAAAATACCATTTTCACTTTGAAAATAAAACTTTTGTATGGGTTTTGCTCATTTGATCATTAGTTTGGTGAAAGGTGATAGTAATTTCAAAATTCAACAAGGACTGGTCATGGAAAAATAATTTTTAATATTTTAGTCTGGTTGTGAACGTTTTTGATTTGTATTAATTTTATTATTGTTTTATATTGCTGATTTGATCACCTATTTACAATTCATTTATTTTATAGTATCAGAACAATTGATTTACTGATTAACAAATATACATATTGAAGATTAATTGCACTTTAAAAGAAGAATGATGAAAGTCCCATTCTGCTCTTCGAACTACTTTGCTTGTTTTTGTTCAAGCCTAGCCTGATGATCATGATTAAGCGCTATTGCTTGACACCACAATTTCCATCATAACAAACTTCTACAAAGGATGTCAAGGTCAGTCATAGACCACACATCCAAACAAATTTTCCATGGATGTTTCTCACTTTTTGGTATGAGAAGCTTCAAAACTTTGTTTATTATCCTATGTACTCTGCTATGTAACATTTTCTGTTTCCATTATAAGATTCCTTTTCAAAATGTATTGTTCTTTTGCCCTACACAATTTAACAATATCACTGTATGATTCATCCAGCTATAAGTCTACACATGATGGCATTGTACTCAGAAAATCTCCAATAACCAAATATGTAGGTTTTAAGCATGTTTCCTGTGGCATCATGGCTTGTATCTGCAACAGTATATTACTACATTAGTGTATGTACATCACCCTTTTTATAAGATGTGATCAACCATCTGTAATTAGGTATGAAGTAGATTACATTATAGTTTTAATTCAAATATTTGGTTTTAATCTGTTTTTTTAAGTGGAGTGGAGAGTTCACCAGAACCAGGTAGCCAGTTTCTTGCTGTTGGTTTTGCACATGATCCAGGGACATCCCCAGAATCAAGATGAGCTTCTTGAAAAGAGTGGTATTCCTATCATTGGTGCCCTTATGCAGAAGGTGATTAATGCGGTTACTGTGTTTTAATATAAATTACTACTTCACTAATGATAACAATTCAGTTTTACATTTTAATAATTCATTTGAACAATACATTACTACATACAGATAAGTTATGTTAAGTTTATGAGAAGGCATTGTCTTGGTATAACAGCTCTGTCAAATTGGAATCTTTTGTTAATTTTTGAGAAAACACTTCTGGATGAGTTTCAGAAATATCTTATAATTGTACTAGCAGAGTACCCGGCATTGCTCTGATGAAAATGGCTTTAAATATCCTGATTTGTTTTGATTAAGTCAACCATATAAATCATGATTTTTTTGCAAATAAATCAAAATAATTTCTTTACCTAACTAAGTATTTTGATTAACATCAATAAAAATAACAATGTGCAAAAAAAATAAAAATTTGCTTAAGCTATTTTAATAAGAGCAAAACCAAATATAAATTACTACTTCACTAATGATAACAATTCAGTTTTACATTTTAATAATTCATTTGAACAATACATTACTACATACAGATAAGTTATGTTAAGTTTATGATCCAGGGACATCCCCAGAATCAAGGTGCATGACATCTCAAGTTTCCAAAATAAAATAGATTAAATAAATTATAATGGTTTTTACCAGTGTTTAACTAATTAGTAATTAGTACCTAGTTATTTGACAGTTAATAATAAAAATAATAAAGTAAAATTACATACTAGATATATGGAATGAAAAATTAATTAATAATTAGACTTAAGTGATCATATAGGCTACTAACCATGGCAATGACAAAATAGAGTAATCACACCAAACTTGTGAACTGTTGAAAATCAAAGTCTTCTTATTGTTTTATGAACTTTAACAAGTCAAAGAAAATTCATTGAAATAATCCAGACCTTTGAGGAATTTTCCACATCATCTCATTTATTCAAGAGACCAGAAAAGAAGAACTTTGAAGTTATAAGCAGGTATGATCAGTTGGGTTGAAAAAAAACCATTGCATATGTGGTTTCACCTGCCAGTGTTGGATACTCATCTTGGGTAACAAATAATCTGTCTTTAGATTGAGTAAATGTCCTGTTTCCATTGTTCTTTCCTGAGAATGTTCAAGTCATACAAAACTGTGTGAATTAGAGAATAAAACATCTCTGGGCCAGTCAGGTTCTTTGTATGTTATTGATGAATTGATTAATTACCCAAGGCATTGGACTATGTGATTGGTGGGCCCATTAATGACACAGGAGATATATTTCATCGGGTTGTTCAGAACAAGGTGCTTTCCAATCTGCAGCAGTAGTCATTGTCAAAGAGAATTGCATGTGCCAAAACTTTCTGAAGTACATTTTTAATGGCCATTTGAAATCCAAGGATGATAATATAGTACATTGCATCACAGACTTTATGCATCATTGCAGAATGATGAACAAGGCAAACAGACTGTGTAAATAGCAAATCCCTTTTCCACTTAGGCAGTGATATGATTGTTTTGTTAGACCCAGATGATGAATGAACTAAGGCTGTGCTGAGTAATTCTTGGGACAAGCGGAAATTATCAACAATTCAAGCTTTGAATTATGAACTTGCAAAGATATACCAACCTGTCAATAGTTTTTTGTGGATTTCAAAATGTAGTTTGTAGTGCCATTTTTTTGGGGAGAAAGGTATGGGAAGATAGAGATAAGCTGACATGGAGCTATAGTTTTGTATAATTCTTGGGATAAAGAAGCAGGTGAAACAGAAAAACGTGTACTTTGACAACAACTTAATTGGAACCAAAAAACAGGATGCAGAAACTGTGCTGTCTCTACTGGATTCAGTTTTGATAGGTATCAAATGTGATACCCAGTGCTTAAAGCAAATGATTTTGCATAGTAGCAATGCCACATGCTACTTGAACAAATATGTAATGGTGCTTAATAAAAGAAAATTCCTATTGGATGACCATTTTTGTATGGGCATATCAATGATTTGTCAATTAGATGTGTGCTGATGGCATCACAAATTGTGACAGCATTGTGGTCCAAAGGAGTTCTTCAAAAGTATTTTGACCAATCAGTGAATCCCAACAAGAATAAGTCATTGTTTGTTTCAAATCTGGGAAAGATCTCTAAAGTGCTTACCAAATATATGCAGTTGAGCAATGGAATGTTTGAATACACTGAAAATTCATTTAAGAATCCTGGAAGAGCTGGTTTTAGAGATTCATGCATTCACAATGAATGACTTAAGTGCTGAAACATTGAAGATGATATCTCAGTGACAGTTGATTCAGGGAATGATACTGTTGTTTTGAAGAAAATAACAGCTGGTGGTGAGGATAAAGGAGATGATAGTAATTATAAATATATTGCTGATAATAGCAAAGAAAGAGATGGTGGATGACATTGGGGTGGATGATGAAGAGGAGGATAGATGTGGTAATGAGTTCAATATGGATGAATGTGTTGACTAGACTAGGTAAACAATAAATCACTTTGCATATCAAAAACTAGTTGTTAAGGATGGGAAGGAAGATAATTCAAATATTTACACTGGTTGTGAAGATTACTATGTGTTGGTGACCTTTCTGGTGGGTTGGGCAAAATTATTTTGATATGAAAAAAAGTACATATCAAACTCTTGTGAAAACTCAACCATAAAATCATCTACAGAAAACACTTGCATATGAAATTACTCTGACAGGTATGATTTACCAAGAGAGCATGAGATTTGGAATGCAATTTAATGGCTATTTGCAGAAGAAAGGAAAGGATATAGAGGATATAAAAATGGGAAAAGAGGTTGCAAAGGCATAGATTCCAAAAACAAAGATGTGATTATTGCATTCCTAGAAAAAAACTGAAATGTAAAATTAAAATGAAGACTTGAGCTCTTCAAGTCACAGTTCAGTGATACCAAAGCTGATTGATTCTCAACTAATACAGGATTAAAAGCCAAAATATCTAATTCAAAGCAAGTGGACAGAAATGTTTTTGAGTTTGTTGTCATGGCATTTTTGACATTTATATCTTCATGGTTCTCATATTCCATCTTATAAAAGACAATAAGCCATGCAGTTTAATTGTTTGTGTTTTTGAATACAGGAGCTTTGAAGACATCTTTAAAACTGATTTTATAATCTTTTAGTAATATTATATCTGTATATTCTACTATGAAAGTGATAGACTATGGAAAAAAACATTTCATCTTTGATTATTCAGTGGTTGGAAGGGAAATTTTGTCCAAGATGAAACCAAAACCAGTTACAGAATTTCTGTGATCTTGATCTAAAAGATATTGCAATAACAGCTGCAAGTTTACTATTTCTGTATCTAGCAATTCTTGTTTTCCCATCCAAAAAAGTCCAAATCAGTGTATTTTCTCATAAATTAGGATTAATCTTTTTTGTCCACTTTTTTAGCTAAGTAGCATCTATAATATTCTGTTGAAATGCTGTTTTTATACAGAAATTATTATCAAGAGGTCTTTAGAACTTACTGTTACTGACTTTTTTGTCATTTATATCTTTGTATTTTTGTGAGTCAGCAAAAGTTATTCAAAATATTGTCAGAAGTATACAATTTGGGATAAGTTTAATTCATGTGTAAAGTAAAACTAGCTTATAATTAAGACTATTTAGTAAATAATTACTGTTTTGTAATAAATTGATATTTAACTTTTGTCCATAGTTTTTTGATTCAGAAAATGTTGTTCAAGTGAATGAACATTGATCTCAATTTTGTCAAAAGTTTTAAAGGTGCGTGATAGGATTATTAATTGAACATTTTTTTATTTGACATTTTAAAATTGATTTTTTGATTATATCTTCAGAAAGATTTTTAGAATTTTTTATAAAACATGAATATTACATAGTTGTATTATTAACGATACTAAGAAATTGTGTGTAATTAAAAATTTGATTAACCATAAAAAAAAACAATGTAACCAGAGCACTTTAAGAAGAAATAGACCTATTCATTTAATTCCTGTTAAAGGAAGGGCTACTCCAATAGCACTTGGGTTACCAGGTTTCTTATTTTGTGATGCATTTTGTTGTAGCTTTCACTTTAAGATGGTTTATTATATTTTACTGTGTATTTTGTCGTAAAAACAATGATATTTTTATACAAGTACATAATAAAAACTTAACTGTAATATGTACTTTAACTTATGAATGCGGCAAATACTGTAATGTTGTTGATAATGTTTCAATACCTTCATCTCTTGGCTCTAATATGTACTTTAGTTTAGCAGATACTGTAATTTTATGTATAATGTGTCAGTATCTTCATCACTTGGGTCTACTATGTATTTTAGTTTATGCATCTAGCAGTTTAGCAGATACTGCAATGTTGTTGATAATGTTTAGATTCCTTCATCACTAGTGGATGTAAACCTTCTGATGGCTACCCAGTTACTAGTAGAAGGAGCTGCTAGCTGTGAAAAATCTGCAGAGCTTTTACGAAGTATTTATCAATACATTTTGTTCGATTTTGCAATCTGGAGTAAAGGCACCTTTCCTGTACGAATAGGTAATTTATTTTTGTAAACATTTTACCTTGTATAAGGCCAATAAAATTTGAAACAAATGGAATTACCTTAAAAAGTTTTACTGCAAATGTTAAACAGAAGAGTGTAAACAATAACAGTTACTCCCAATGAGTAATAGATTGTATACGTGTGAATGACATCATCATCTCCATTTTATATGCGTTTCATTTCAGTAATACTATACCTTCTAATGTTCTGTTATAGTTACGTAATGAATAGATTAAATGGTTCTCTTAAAAAAAACATCATTTTTTTTTTTGAAAATATTATAAGTTTATATAATATCTAGAGCTACTTATAATCCAAACATGCAATGTCTTTTTTTTCTGAAATAAATTGCATGAAATTATAATTTCATGGAAATGATTATGAACAATACTCATACACAGCAATGAGTTTCTTTATAGCAATGGCCACATAGTTTCAACTGATTCATTTGTAACATTATACATCTATCTATAATTAAATTTTATTGTTTTATTGCTCTTTGAACATGTCTAACTACTATCTGTGCCATTATAAGTTGTAAATGACTTGGGGAACATGCAGCTCACATTACGCTATTGAATTACATTACCCAGGAGCTGCTCGCACGTGTGCCTCGTGAACCACTTTAATTATATAATTATTATTATTACTTATTTTACCTAATCTAGTCTTAAAAAACTCAAAAAGATTGTATTTTTAGATCTTAATTACTTTTATAATAATAAATAAAGAATAAATTCTTACCCAATTTTTTTTTCTTGCTCCCGGGTTTCGATGAGAGTTAACCCTATTTTGTATACTATAGATAGTAATGAACTTAATAATTTTTATTTAATTAAATAATGCACCAAAGAATATAGATTAATAACATGGAAAAAGTAAGACAAGTTCACTGACG